CCCCAAAACCCCAAAACCCCAAAACCCCAAAACCCCAAAACCCCTCAAGTTCACTAATTTACTGAATTAGTTCGAGATAATAGGTTTATTCAATCCCAAGGAGTTGGTAGAGGAAGTCTACATATGAAATCCTATTGGTCCCAGATCTGTCGTAGAGCTCGACTAGCATCCCAATATCATTGGTTTCAACATCCATAGAGAATTGTTGAAATCTTTTAAGGATAATTTCTTGGTCGATGTACTCATAAACTCGTTCTTCAGGCTCCTTGGTTCTTCCAGAACTTGGCTTAGTGCTTCTGCCAGGAGTACCATTCTTTCAACTTAAATTTTTGATTGGGTTTTTCAGGATACTTCTTTGCCTCACAAGGCGATTACCAGAATTTTGTTTTGACATTAGCTTAAAACATCTCTGAGGATCATCAATTGTTGCATTTCAATGTTTTTGTAGAGCACGGAATTGCAATTCTGCTTTAACATGTCTTGCCAGAAGTCTTACAATTACCTGATTCGTAACAAAGCCGAACACCTTCTTGCGATCTTTAGGGAATCCTTTCTGATATAGAGGCTTCTTTACTTCCATTTCTCTACCCCATTCAGCATCAAATGGCTTGAACATTTTACAAAAATTCTGGAACGGTAACTTGTTGCTATTTTTAGGCAAATATCTTTCAAAAATATACAACAATTTCTCCTTATTTCCTTGTAATTATACCGAAAGATTGGCAGCCCTTCAAGAACTCATGCTTCAACAGAGTTGGGATCTTATTAAGACTGAATAACTTGTAAGCATCCGGAAGGTTGAAATCCTCTGTGGATCATAACTCGATTTTAAGCTGCTCTATCTCCCTAAGGATCTTGATCTGCTCCATAAATCATTTGATGACAGGGTACAATAACTTTCTCTGAGATTTCTTGAAGGAAAGACATGTAGGGGCTGCATATGAACTACTATGATCACGTTCGCTTCTTCCAGTCCCAAGGTCCAAATTTTGAAATGATTCTGTCATCCCGTCAAATCCAGTAGTGATCGATCTATACGAATCTTCAGGGTGCTGTCTCGAGGTATTCAGGCTTGATCTTCTATTCGATCTAGAAGTATGTCTCGAGCTCGGAGGGCCAACCTTGCCTATTAGTATAAACTCAATGGGACGTACTTGTTGGAATTTTTAAAATAGAATGACTCTTGATTCCTTTCGGTGGATTTGGCCTACCAGTTAAACAGATACTTACTGAAATGGAGTATAATCAGGCACATACCGACTTAGCGCAGAATCAAGGATCCTTGAACTCTTCGTCTGAGCTTTGTGAGGATGCCAAGGCGGCATCTCTGGTTCATTAGTCACTATATAAGGCTTCTGATATGCATTCTTATTATCATAATACTTCATTTCCAGCCTTTTGGCTACTGGGGATCTTTCGTCAACAGTTTTATAATTAGACATCACCGCTTGGCTCTGGCATTTCTTAGCAGAGCTAAATGGAGAGATGGGGTCTTTCTGGGCTGACCTCTTGTAAGCAGACTCCTGCAAGTTAGAAATTGTACTACCCACTGGTCGGTGAGTGGACAGATTAGGAGTGATTATGACCTGGTCTAAGTCACAGTTAGGCTTAATTTTGAAGAAAATTAAAGTAATGTTAAGATAAGCGAAATAGTGGGATTAGATGGCAAATTATTTTAACATATTTGCTATTGAGAATCTATACTGATCGAGATGAGAAGCGAGCTGTAGAGTATTATTTAAGAGTGTTATATTTGTATTTAAAGAGATTTATGTAACCCCTTGAGTATGAATTGAAAATTTGAAGGCATTTAATCTTTTCTAAAATTACTTGCCTGCCCTAAAAATTATCCAGAAAAAGTCTTATCCTAAGTTTCCCTCATTACTGGCTACAATACCTCTCCTATCTCAACCCATGTCCAAAATATCATTACTAAAACATATCATATTCAAAAAGGCTCTAAATAAAGCACTAAATCCTTATGCAAATCCCTAAATCTCAATTTTCAAAATCCCAAATGATGTAGAAGCACCAGTACCGTTATCCGTCCTCTCTCTTGAAAGGTGTTTCTGCTTCTGGGCTGAGTTATATTCCTCTGCCAATAAATGAGTAGCTTCATAGCCTGATAAGTACCTTCTAGGACTCCTGATCCTTGCTTCTTTGGCTCTTGAACTTCTAAGTGGGGCTACCCTGTTCAACTTTGTATTCGGAGAACTTTTATGAATGTCTAATGTAAAAATTAAGCAAGAAATTAGAGAAGAAAGCTAAGAGATTGGGTCTGAATAGAGCATGTGATTCCCTTTAAGTCTCTGATGAAAGATCAATTTAGAATAATTACTAGAGGTGACCATAGCTTATTCTTTAATCTCAATGAATTTTCAGTTAGGAACTTTCGAAAACAGTAAGAAATTTAATTTAGAAATTTGTTAATTCAAACAGAAAATTTTCACGAAATACTGGTCTTGGTGATAATATTTAAATTAAAAATAAGCTGGAATATTTATCTGAACTCTTGTCTAGACCATCTATATTAGATTCTCACTACAAGCTCGCTCAGGTCAGCTTTCTTCCTTGAAAGATTAGCATCGGCTCAGTATTTAACCCATACTAGTCGATTCGGTTACCAAAATTTACCAGAAAAATGACAGATTTTATTAAGAATGCCAAATCAATCTAAAAATTCTTCTAAGTCTCCATCTTGTGCTGATTGGGCTTACCTCGGATAGCTCTTAGCCCATAAGGCGTCTGTGTATAATACTCAACTCCTTCCATTATGAATTAACGAATTTATTTAATTCAACTATTTCATTTGTATAGGGGTTTTGGGGTTTTGGGGTTTTGGGGTTTTGGGG